ATTTAGGAAAGTTGAAGAGTCTAAACAAAATGGTGATTACATGGATGTCCACCCCACTTCCTTGAAGCTAGAGGAAGGGCCAAGATTTTCTGTAGCAAATATTTGCAAGTTTGCTCTGATTTAGTTGATGGGCATTTCAAAGGCCTATGCTATAGAGCGGGGGTCCCTAAACCTCGATACCAGTCTGTGGCCTGTTAGGAACAGGGCTGCAGAGCAGAAGGTGCATGGCAGGTGAGTGAGCGAAGGTTCTTCTGTATTTACAGCTGCTCCTCATCACTCGCATTATCACCTGAGCTCTGCCTCCTGTCAGATCAGCAGCAGCTAGAGTCTCATAGGAGCACAAACCGTATTGTGAACTGTGCATGTGAGGGATCTAGGTTGCATGCTCCTTATGAGAATCTAATGCCTGATGATCGGTGACTGTCTCCCATTGTACCCAGATGGGACCATCTAGTTGTAGCAAAACAAGCTCAGGGATCCCACTGATTCTATGTTATGGTGAGTTGTATAATTATTTCATTATGTAATCATCATAGAAATATAAATGAACAATAATAATAGAAGTAGAGAGCACAGTAAATGTAATGCACTGGAATCATCTCAAAGCCACCTCCATCCCTGGACTGTGGAAAAACTGAAAAACTGTCCTCCATGAAACGAGTCCCTGGCGGCAAAAGGATCAAGGACTGCTGCTATAGAGTATATCAGAAACCTAAGGAGGCTTTTTAAACACCATGGCCGTAGCCAACACCAATGTCAGTGAGGCACCATTTAAATGTGTACTTTAAAGCAGAACCATTTGCAAGTAATTCTTCTAACATAAAGGTTTAGAAAAATGGAGGCTTAGGGATTAATGAGTTGATCTCCTTTATAAAATTATTGGATCAAGTTAAGTAACTGTTGAAGGACAAAAAGGTTGTTTCTTTCCCTCCCTCCCTCCCTCCCTCCCTCCCTTCCTTCCTTCCTTCCTTCCTTCCTTCCTTCCTCTTTCCCTCTTTCCTTCTCTCCTTCTTTCTTTTCTTTCTTTTGAGATAGAGTCTCACTCTGTCTTCCAGGCTGGAATGCAACGGTGCCATCTCAGCTCACTGCAACCTCTGCCTCCTGGGTTCAAGCGATTCTCCTGCCTCAGCCTCCTGAGTAGCTGGGATTACAGGTGCACACCACCATGCCTGGCTAAGGTTTTTTTTTGTATTTTTAGTAGAGATGGGGTTTCACCATGTTGGACAGGCTGGTCTCAAACTCCTGACCTTGTGATCCACCGCCACAGCCTCCCAAAGTGCTGGGATTATAGGTGTGAGCCACCATGCTTAAATGATTGATGCTGACCATTCCATTTAGACATAATAATTATTTAGCATGACCACATATGGTTCAGGCACCACTGAGGGTTCTTGGAAGTAGATCTAGCATGAGTGCTATGAGCCTACCACCAGGATCCCGCCAGAGAGAATGGGGAAAGGGTTTCGGAAAGCTTCCCTCTTCTGAGGGTTCCTCAACATGGAAGGACTGAGGGGCAGGGATCACTAAGACATCATGCAGGTTCAGTCACTGCTAAAACACTTGCTGAGGAACTGTCTGCTGGACCAGCCACAGCTGAGTTTATTACTTTTTTCTCCCTTCCCCATCTTCCACCTACCACCATAGACAGACAGACACACACACACACACACACACACATATACACACACACGCACGCACAACCCCCTCTCTATTTTTATCTCTTTCTTTATTTTTGAGATGGAGTCTCACTCTGTCACCCAGACTGGAGTGCAGTGGTGCGATCTTGGTTCACTGCAGCCTCTGCCTCCCAGGTTCAAGTGATTCTCCCACCTTAGCCTCTCGAGTAGCTGGGATTACAGGAGCATGCCACCATGCTCAACTAATTTTTACATTTTTTTTTTTTTTTTTTTTTTAGTAGAGACGAGGTTTCACCATGTTGGTCAAGCTGGTCTGAAACTCCTGACCTCAGGTGATCCACCTACCTCAGCCTCCCAAAGTGCTGGGATTACAGGTGTGAGCCACTGCGCCTGGCCTATTTTTTTTTTTATTCTTTCTTTTTACTATGAACATATTCTACTCTATCACACAACATTTGGGGCATTATGTTATAACCCTGCACAGAAAATGTCTTCTCTAAAATTGGGCACACTTTTTTTTTTTTTTTTTTACTGAGTTTTCCCTTTTTTTTTTTTTTTTTTACTGAGTTTTCCCTTTTTTTTTTTTTTTTTTACTGAGTTTTCCCTTTTTTTTTTTTTTTTTTACTGAGTTTTCCCTTTTTTTTTTTTTTTTTTACTGAGCTTTCCCTGTCTTTTGATTTTGTTACCAAGAAGCGGTTATGAGTAGCATTTGTAAGCCTTGTATAAACATTTGAGAAATCATACTTATACAAAAACAACATGCTCCCAAGATGTTGACATTCAGCATGGACAGGAAGGATCACAGATGAGATCATAATTTGAGTTGGCGTACTCAGAACGTGTCTGTGAAGATGACGTGTCTTCTCCATACCGTCACAGGGGTCTGGCTGTCACACACCACAGCCTCTTCCATGCTGGTCAAACGCGATAGAAAACATGACCCGATTCCTCATCAGAATCAGACCAGGCTACTGTGAAGGGGACAATGAACGCATCAAAGTTATTCAAATAAGAATTGGGATATTTGACATAACAGAATTAGTAGCTTTTAACTGAGAAAAGATTAGTTTTTTAGCTAAAACAAAATTAAACATTACAAACATTTAAGTTAGACTCTCAGAAAGTGAGGGGGTTAGAGGAGCACAGACTATCCAGGCTGTCTCTGCTTTTACCCTGCTTCTTAGTTGAGGCCAGACTTCATGCCTTTTCACATGCCCTAAATGAACAAATCCCTTCGCCGCAAGAGCTTATTTTAGTGGGGATCCTGTGAGAGCTGGAGAAGATGATTTCAACTCACACACCAAGGCTTAACCATGATCATCCCTGTAGACATGGCCATTTCTTTCCCAGATTCCTTCCTCAGCATGACCCTCTCCTTGAATCTCCTTCTTTCCTTTGCCTTTTTCTCAGCAAGTGCCCTCCTTTGTCTTGAGCAACATAGCTCAGCTTTGTCTTCAGCCTGGACATCCACTCAGCAAAATGAGACTAGCAATTGCCGAATCGTGAACTTTCAAGCATTCCTCATGTGTGCCCTGGGAGGTTGTCACTAGGCTCCAGTTTCTGATCCAAGTAATCTTCTAGCAAAAACTCAATTTTTCCTAGAAAATGAATTCTGCTGCTATGAAATAAAAGTGTTTCCTTGGCCAGGTGTGGTGGCTCATGCCTGTAATCCCAGCACTTTGGGAGGCCGAGGTGGGCAGATCACGAGGTCAGGAATTCAGGACCATCCTGTCCAACATGGTGAAACCCGGTCTCTACTAAAAATACAGAAATTAGCCAGGTGTGGTGGCCTGCGTCTGTAGTCCCAGCACCTTGGGAGGCTGAGGTGGGTGGATCATTTGAGGTCACGGGTTTGAGACCAGCCTGGCCAACATGGTGAAACTCCATCTCTACTAAAAAAAAAAAAATACAAAAATTAGCTGGGCATGGTGGCACACGCCTGTTGTTCTAGCCACTATGGCGGCTGAGGCAGGAGAATTGTTTAAACCTGGGAGGTGGAGGCTGCAGTGAGCCGAGATGACGCCACTGCACTCCAGCCTGGGCAACAGAGCGAGACTCTGTCTCAGAAAAAAAAAATCCTTATAGTTTTACACAGGAAATTAAGAAATAATACAATGTTCACAAGGAAGTGAACAACAAACACTGGGGTCTACTCAAGCGTGGAGGTGGAGGATGGTGAGGACTGGAAAACTACTGATCAGGTACTATGCCTATTACCTAGGTGATGCAATATTCTGTACACCAACGCCCCCCAGACATGCTGTTTACCTATATACACAAACCTGCACATCTATTCCTGAACCTAAAATAAAAGTTGAGGCCGGGTGTGGTGGCTCATGCCTGTAATTGCAGCACTTTCTGAGGCTGAGGCAGATGGATCATTTGTGGTGATGAGTTCAAGACCAGCCTGGCCAACATGGTGAAACCCCATCTCTCCTAAAAAAAAGAAAGTACAAAAATTAGCCGGGCATGGTGGCACACGCCTGTTGTTTCAGCTACTTCAGAGACTGAATAAGGAGAATCACTTGAACCTGGGAAGCAGAGGCTGCAGTGAGCCGAGATCGCACCACTGCACTCCAGCCTGGGTGACAGAGTGAGACTGTCTTTAAAAAGAAAGTTGAAAAAAGGCCAAAATGAATAATAATACAAATGATAAGAGAAGGGCAAAAATTAAAAAAATAAAAATTAAGCTGGTGAAGTTTCAAAAAGAAGTACAATTAATATCACCATAATTATAACAAAATATACTAGGAAATGAAGATAAAGAGCTATAGTTAAGAAAATAACAGAATACACATTCCATCACGTTGGGAATGACCATAACAGAAAGCAAATGTGGACACAAAAGCCTAGCTGGAAGCAGCTCAGCCATCGGAACATCCCGCGGATTTTGAAGCTCCTGGGGGCAGAGACGAGTGCCACAGCTTTTCCGTGGAGCTCGTCACAGTGGGGTTTTGCCTCTGCTTGGATGATGAATTCGTTGGATTCTCTTTTAAGTCACAATTTCAAGTATTGTAGGGAGCCTTTAGAGGACACAGTGCTGTGCTTGGAAACCCAAGCCCCAAACCAAAAGCAAACCCTGCCTGTGTGTGTTTTATCTTACTCTCTACAACAAATGTGCAGGCTTTTCCAGACTGAGCAAAAGGTATACATTACACTTGTGAAAAATAAGGAAATTCTGCCACCAATTTTGGGAAAAAACTCTTAAAAAGTTGAAAAATTGAAAACATTGAGATAAGTCATGTGGCAAAATCTGATTGTCACAGGTCCCACAACTTTCCCTCCTTTTCCCGTCTAGGTTAATTTATTCCTTGAATGGTCAGCTTTGCGTGGTTGTAAAAGTTTGTTTTCCTCTCCTCTCAGGTACTTGGAGAAGAAACGACTGTGCTTTCCTCGGTTTTTCTTCGTCTCAGATCCTGCCCTTCTAGAGATTCTGGGCCAGGCGTCCGACTCCCACACTATACAGGCCCATTTGCTGAACGTGTTTGACAACATCAAATCTGTCAAGTTCCATGAAAAGGTTCGCCTAATTCTAATGGCAGGCCAACGATCGCTGTCCCTTGGAACGTCCGCTGCTTTTAAGTAGCTCTTTGAAAACGGGTTGATAAAAAGGGTTGCTTCCCTGTTCACGAGCTCTTGGCTAATGACTAAAAACAAATCTTGGGGCGCCATTTACCTTCAGAACTGCTTACTATGCAAAGTGTAGATTCAAATTTAAGAAAATGATAGCTTAGGATTAAGAATGCATTTTATGTAGCATTCATGGTTTTACACCCCAAGTTAACTAGTCAAAAATCCAACAAGATAGAAAACCAACTGTTGATAAAATAATGTCTTAACTAAACAGAACTGCCCTCAGGGTTTGATTTTTTTTTGTTTTTTTTTGAGATGGAGTCTTGCTCTGTAGCCCAGGCTGGAGTGCAGTGGTGCGATCTCAGCTCACTGCAACCTCTGCCTCCCGGGTCCCAGTTCAAGCAATTCTCCTACCTCAGCCTCCCAAGTAGCTGGGATGGATTTGATTGTTGTAATCAGGTTTCAAAAGTTTTTTTGTCATACTTTATCAAAATAGGTTTTTTATAATTCTGTGCGCATAGAATCCTGAAGCTGCATGGGACTCACATTAGGCCATTTAACTTGACAGAGACTACACTTGCACAGCTGCTGAAATATATTGTCTAATCTATCCCTCCACCCAAATTCCCTAGTAAAGTGACCCTTCTTGCTTGATAGTGTATTCAGTTTCCCTCTGTGCTTCATACAGACCCCTAGTAATATTCATTTTTTTATCCTAGCATGCAGTGTTACATTTATTGAGCAACTACTATGTTCCGGATGTCATGCTTAACACTAGGAATACACTGACCTTCCATGAACTTGTGCTCTCAGGGAGAAGACAGGGGAGTAGACAAGTTGCCTTCAGAGTGCAGTTAGGAGGGTGTCAGAGCTATTCCATTTGAAGCCATTAAAAGCCAGTTGTTAAGGTCAAGCTCCTTGCTGTCTGCCAGACACGATACTGTCTGGGATTCCCAGGAAGAATATATCATGATCAACACTGAAGTCAGTTGTATGTACTATAAGACTCTAGAGAAACTGGACAATCAAATAGCTGAATCAATAAATTTGAACTTGTATTATTATTGTTGTGCTGCATTAAGCACAAAGAGTGTGAGAATACCATCAGGGAGCCCTAACCTGGGTGTATGGGGGTGTCAGGGAAGGCTTTCTGCAGGAGAATATAAATTTGCACTGACTTTTTGAAGGTAAGTGAACTATAACCTTGCAGGTGAAGAGAGGAAGTATGGTCAGGACAGAAGAAGAGCAGGTGCAAGGGAAGTGTGGGTGCCTGGAAGTGGGGGCGGCCCAGGCTGTCAGCAGCTTGGGTGTGTGAGGGAGGTTATTAATTTCTGAGGGCTTCTGTGGCTTAAAACCACAGAAATGTATTCTCTCAAAGTTCTGGAGGCTAGAGGTGACTATGTCTTAAATTGATCACATCTGCAAAGACTATTCCCCAATAATGTCACATTTGCAGGTACCAGGGCTTAGGACTTCAGCATATTTTTTTGAAAGACATAATTCAACCCACAGCAGGGAGCCATGAGCAGAGAGAAAGGGGATGGGCAAGATTTTAAAGGCCAAGTGCATCCCATTATGGAATTCTGCTTCATCCCGAACATGATTAAAAAGCTATGGGAGGCTTTTAAGCAGGACAGTGACCTGATTTGTGTTTCTGAAACATTCTCTGGCAGTGTAGGAGGCAGAATGAAAGGGGGCAAGGACATCAATGTAAGAAGGCATTGCAAAATCAGGATAAAAAAGACTGAACAGCTGTAACGAGGCTTTGTTAGAGGGGACAGAGGAAGGAAAACAGGATGGATTTTAATGGTTCAGAATCAATGTTTCTTGTTTTATTGGATGTGGAGGTTGAAAGAAGGGACTAAATTCATCAGAAAATTCTTCCTGATGTTTTGCTTAAACCCTCTGCCACAGCACTAGGACTTCATCGTCCAAGAGCGAAGCTTCTCACTGTCTCAAGTTGTCTTAAGTATCTTTAAGTATCTTATTTAGAGTGTAGCTCTCTTTTGTTGATTAAATGCCCACAGACTTTTCACCTTTGTTCTTAGCAGTCGCTTCTTAAGATCGTGTTGTTTTTGTTTTTTCTTGTTGATCCTGCCATGAATTTTCTATAATCAGGGGCTGAGTTTGGTTGTGTGTGTGCTAAATCTTGTAAGTTTGTAAATACAAATTCATATTCAGGGCCTTGGAAAGGGTCTGTGTAAGTGGGGGCCCAGAGACTAAAGCCCCAGTAGCTTTTTGGTAGATCAGTTCTGCCTACGAGCTAAGGAGGACTTAGTATAACACTTTAGGTTTCAGAAGCCTCATTTCATTTGGGAACCTTTAGGGATTTTTAAAATCATAGTATTTGTATTAAATGTTTCTTTTAGAAGATTTACCCCCCTTACAGTATAGCTTATTTGGAATTGATTTCTTTCTTTCTTTCTTTTTTTTTTTTTTTTT